TCTTTTTATAACTTGCAATCTTTTGCTAGAATTTTGCTTTTGCCCGTCCTTCCGCCTGGCACATGGTTCGCTTCCACCATTCCTCTACGCTTCAACTTTTCCTTAAGGCCTCCCTTGATGCAGCCCTTCCTACGCCTCTTGTCCACTTTCTCTCTCTAGCACTTTTGATCACCTGACTTTTTATATTTGTGTATAATCTGTCTCCTCTCACTGAAATGTAAGCTCTGTGAAGTAAGGGTTTTTGTGGGTTTTGTTCATTTCTGTATTCCTAGTATTAAAACCCTGCCTGGCGTATAGCATACATTTACTAAATATTTCTAAATGGTTGGATATGTAAATGAACAAATGGCTAGAGTGGAGAACTAGACACCTTCTTAAAAATTTGGCACATGTTGCCAAATTGACACCTGCAATAGTTAATCAAGCTAGATACCAACCAGAATAAAAGTATCTGCTTCCCAACAGTCATTATAGTGTGGGATTACTGTTTTTTCATTTTGCCAATCAGGGAGATGGCAAACATGATATTCTTTTGCTGTTTTTACTTTTTATTAAGACTGTACAGTTTTTTTTCATATCCACCGAGCATAGAAAAGCAGCCCTTATTCCTGTCATGTCTTTTATTAAAGGGAAATATTTTTGTAACCCTCCCCTCTCCTCTATCCCAAATCACTGGCTACAGGTCTGACCACCATGACGGTCTCAGGGTTGTCCCGATTCGATTGCTGGTACTGGGGAGAGATCTGACTTCCTGTGGGAAGTCGAACCATCAGGAATCTGTTAGCGCACCAGAAGTGAGAGGACAGCTGTGGGGAGGCAGTCACGTACTGAATCAACCCTTGATTGATTGACCAGTACCTTGATGAGCTTTTAAAATAGAGCAAAGATGTTACCCTTTCAAGTAATTTTTATTATTGAAGTAGCTCATGATCGTTAGTGAAAGCTTGTAAAGTGCAAAGAGGTAGAAGAAAAAAGTATCCAGGAATCCCACCACCCAGTTAATTATTTTGATATTTACCACTAGGCTTTTCTTTTCTTTTTCGTATATTTTTAATATAAATTAGATAATTCTGTGTACGCTTATACCAGTATTTTCATTTAAAATCATAGCAATCGCCCAAGTCAGTTTGGCTCAGTGGATAGAGCGTCGGCCTGTGGACTGAAGGGTCCTGGGTTCGATTCCGGAAGGTCAAGGGCACATGCGCGAGTTGCAGGCTCAATCTCCAGTAGGAAGTGTGTAGGAGGCAGCCGATCAATGATTCTCTCTCATCAATGATGTTTCTATCTGTCTCTCCCTCTCCCTTCCTCTCTGAAATCAATAAAAATATATGTAATAAAAAATAAAACTATAGCAATCATTTATCATGACTTTTTTAAAAAACAGACTCTGTGCAGTTTCATGTCTGCATGACTTTCCATGGACTTGGATAAGTTTCAAATCATTTTCTATATTTGGATACAAAGTCATCCCCACCCCCCCTCCACCCACCCCCAGTTAGAATTATCAATAATAATGCCATTATATCTTAATGTATAACATTTTTTTTTATTTTTAGGTTTGTTTTTATGGGATAAATTCCTAGAAATGAAATTGTGTCAAAGTCCATGAACATTTTTACTGCCAAATTGTTTTTTTAAAAGCATTGTCTACTTGCACTGCCAATAGCAATGTTTGCAAGTGGAGCTGCTTTATGTCAATTAATTTGTGTCATATGGAAATGGGTCATCGACCTGTTCCCTTTTGGACCTGAAACAGTTGGAACTTCATTCAGAATAAACACTAATAAAAGCTGAAATAACTCTAGTGGTTTCGGTTCAACAGTCTCCTATGGCAACTTGCTGCAAATTTTAATAGCCTAAGGGGTTTTGATTTGCCTTCATTTTCTTTTCCCCTCTGCTATTACCCTCTCTCCCGGGTTTAAAACATGTTTTCCTGGCTGCAGTTAAGCCCTAGTACTTCTTGTTCTGTCTTTGTTGATTAATGAGTATAATTGACCCCTGTTGTCTCTATTATACAAGCCACAGCAATTTGTTTTTATGTAGCAGTTATTTTCTGAGCTGTCACAAAACCGCCTTACAAAGAGAGCTCATTATCAACCCGAAGGAAAAGAATTTTAAGTGATGAAGTGAATAAAGGTCTCTAAGAGGAGGAGAAGTCTTGGCTGTTCAAATGTTCAGGGAAAGGAGAGAGTTCTAGTGGTAGGCTTATGTACTCAGCAAGACTTGGTTATCCCTTGAAATTATTAGATTAAAAATGGCTCCCCATAGAGTCGTGAAGACTGGTTGTAGAGGATTGAATGTTGGTCCAAGAAACAATGGAGCATAGCCTTTTATGGAGGGGGTTGAAGTCCATTGGAGTTTGGCAATTAGGAACGGAATTCTAGAGAACCCTGCTAAATGTCTGTCTGTAGAAGTAGAGGCGATTTCTTAGTTGAAAATTTTCTCTGAACAGATATTGACCATAAAGAATACCTACATTTCACCCAACTGGCGTGGCTCAGTGGTTGAGCGTTGACCTATGAACCAATAGGTCATGGTTCGATTCCCAGTCAGGGCACATGCCCGGGTTGTGGGCTCGATCCCCAGTGTGGGGTGTGCAGGAGGCGGCCAATCAGTGATTCTCTCTCATCATTGATGTTTCTATCTCTCTCTCTCTCCCTCTCTCTTCCTCTCTGAAATCAATAAAAATATATTTTAAAAAATACCTAAATTTCATGTTATCTCAGAACATAGTGTACGATTTATATACATTTTTCCTAATTTTTCTCTTCCCCTATGATCTTGATGAGGTTTCCTCATTCACAAAATTAAGGAAGCAGCAGAAGTGTAGGGAAGAGATGGAACAGAGGAGATCTTGACTTTGTAACAGTCAACTGGCCACACCACGAAACAAATTGGGTCCTGTTTCAGGGGATCATCTTGTCTTCAGCTGTTCAATTGAGAGCTCAGATAGGGAATGTCTTGTCACATAACCTCTGTTTGTCAGCCCTGCCACACGTTTCTCCTGGGAGAAGAAAAGGACATTAAGCACAGAGGAAAGGAAAAAAATCCAAAGCAGCAACAGTGAACTATTAGCAGTGGTGGTTCTGAGTCATGGAATGCAGCAGCTGGAGGGAACTTTATAAGATGGTCTCCTTACTTTTTGAAGTAGTAGATAAAGTTTGTTGCATAGAAAGTTTGATTTACTTTTACCTTGATCCATCTAGTTCCTGGAAGAATTGGATCTAAAATCAGTCTCCCTTCTGGTTCAGTACCCTTCGTACTGTTAGGTAACTTCTCGCCAGTTGGAATTCTCCTTTTCTTATACATTAATGTGAGTATTTGACCCAAAACAGTTCCAGACAGACTACTACTCTTCAAGTGGCAGGTTATAGTAATTGCACAGGAACTTGCATTACCTTATTTTGCTTATGAATATTCGGAAGAAAGTTGGTTTGATCCCTCCAGAAACGTCTGCTGCAAGAGCCTCTGGCGGGAGGGGCGGTTCTGGAAAGCCGTGGGGGAAAGGCAGCTGGAAAATGTGCTGGCCCTGTTCAGAACCAGCTAGAAAGAGTACATAGCACCTCAAAACTCTGAGACTTCTTATCTCCTTATGGGAAAGAAGTGAGGACTTGTTCGTCTTCATAGAATGAGAGGGTGTCTTAGAAGGAAGGGGGTACCTCTGCCACTGATGGGGAGCAGCACATGGGAGGGTCAACTGCCTTCTTGGTTAATCCCTCCATTTTAGGAAAAGTTGGGTAAATTGTGCTGACTTAATGAAAAGAACATTATTTTGTACTTGTGAGTACAGACGGAGGTAGGAGGCAACCGGTATCTTGAGTTTCTTTAGTAAAGAATTTCTGTCATTACTCTGCAACTGTGGGATTTAGGAACTAAAGTCCCCATGTTAAGTGAATTTACAGGTATAAATTTATGACAATATGTGGGAAAAGAAATATTTCCAATCTCTTTTGCACCAAAAATATACTTAAATGTATTTTACATTCACTTAAACCAATAAAGGGAGAACACTAAATGAAGAGTATAGTGCAGTGATGGCGAACCTTTTGAGCTCGGCGTGTCAGCATTTTGAAAAACCCTAACTTAACTCTGGTGCCGTGTCACACATAGAAATGTTTTGATATTTGCAACCACGAACCTTTTGAGCTCGGCGTGTCAGCATTTTGAAAAACCCTAACTTAACTCTGGTGCCGTGTCACATATAGTGTTGTTTTGATATTTGCAACCATAGTAAAACAAAGACTTATATTTTTGATATTTATTTTATATATTTAAATGCCATTTAACAAAGAAAAAAACAACCAAAAAAATGAGTTCATATTTCGCCATCACTGGTATAGTGACATTTTGTACAGTTTCAATGAATCCTAATTACTACTGTATTTTTCATTTCTATCCCAGTCCTTTTTTCCACAGGAAATGCAAATACTCACACATTAAGATGTATTTTCCCGTCTAGGTTAAGCCATGCACTCAGTGCTGTTCTTATTTTATAATTTAGAACTGTTTTCCTCTCTCACCTTTTCCCACATCTTGTTGTGGTGGCTATGATGGATATATATTTTATAAGTGTACCCTCCCCACAAAATCAAATGAATAAAGAAAGAAAAAACCACTTTGGTAAGATCTGTATCTCATTAAATTTAGCATATATGAATAGTTGTTTCTCAAACCCCTCCCTCAATATCATCTATTCTTCTCCAGAACAGATCTACCCATTGTCATGCGCTGGTGTGGGTCAATTCCACCTTATCTTTACCTGGTTTTGGGCACCGCATTCTGATAATAATGGTGCACCTTACCTGTATGTAGTACTTCACATTTTTCAAAATATTTCATTCGACCCTCATAAAATCCGATGTACTGTCAGGTGTAAGAAAAGGCTTCACCTTTGGGGAGCCTATCCTTGCACCCCTCATTATTTTAATTAGTGAGACTGTAAAGCTGTTCACTGTCAGTGTTTAGCCTGATTAATGTTGCCCATGTTCTGTCCTGCACAGGTTATTCCGGCCAGGACTTCGACTGGGCCGATTATCACAAGCAGCATGGAACGGAAGAAGCACCTCCTTTCTGCTTCAAAAATGTAAGACGCTTGTTTCTTGCTACTCCTTTTACCATAGCTGTTGCTCACCATAAATGCCATCAATTGTTTTCTATTTATTGAGCAAGAGTGCTGCCGTGTCCTATGGAATCCCAAAACTTTCACAGTTTTGAAAAGTCCTCCTTTCAGCTTGTCTATTAGAGTAATTTTGGGAGGTAGTAACAAATTGATTACTGAAGGTGTAGTGGCTGAAACATGTTATAAATTTAGTTCTCATTGAGGGAAGGGTCCAGGATGTACTGGATTTCTAGCTGGTTCTTCTCATTGTGGTGAGCCTTGAGCTAGATATGTTTTTGTTTCAGCCCCTGAATCTGGTGAGCAGATAGGAGAGAAGTCCAGGAGAAGATAGCCCTAGTTCTAAGCAGTGTAGCCGATACTGACACATGGTACTCTGTTCCCTTTCTCTCAGTGAGAACCAGCCACTCATCTGCACCATGAATGAGGCTAGGAGATGCCCAGCTAGTTCCCCAGCCATGACTCCATACTGTAGAAGAGGGAGGACAAACTGGTGGACAGCCAGCCACCTGTGCCAACAATAGCTGTGCACTTGCTATGCATAGCTATTGGTGACTATGGGGTATAATATTGATAAGCCATCAATAGGAGATTCTCTGTACATGAGGAATATTCTTAAAATATGATCTTAATTTTTTTGCATTGGATTATTTTTCTAGGATGCTAGTCCAACAATTTTGTACTTAGCTGTGCTTACTTTAAGCCCCTACCTTGTTCAAATAGAACTTATTGGCATAGTAATAGGATTTTTGTGACAAATAAAATAGCTGTGTGTGTGTGTGTGTGTGTGTGTGTGTGTGTGTGTGTGCGTGCGCGCTCATACATGTATGTATTTGCTTAGTTATCAGAGTTGGTTGTATTGAGTAGTTTATAAATTATTCATTTTATTTCATCAACCCTGGGGAACTATGAAAGGAGACATAGATTAGTATCTCTGATTTAAGAATGAGGCATAAATGTATAGTTTAGCGTGTTGAACACATATTTCATGATGAAGCTAATTCCTTGTGCTGAGAAAAGACGAAGTCTACCAGCTGAGGACTGCAGATACTAAGTGCAGAGTGCTCCAGAATCACAGACTTGTTTTCTAGACATGGGCTTCTATTGCTGCTGATTCATTGCCGCCCTCCCTATAATTTGTTCTGCAAGGTAACAGAATATGAAAACTGAGAGGAGGAAAGGGTTGACTTAATAGAGAGAAACTCAATACTGAGCATAAGTCAAAAACAGATTTTGGAGAATTAAGTAGGTTGATTACTGGGTCAACTTGTACTCCTAAATACAGAAACAAATCAGTGGCAGAGTGGAATCAAAGCTTTATAAATGATTAAATGGACTTTCTACTTGGATGACCATAGCCTTTGCACAAAGGCAGTTCTTCTGTAGTTGAAAGACCTGCATGGTGAGTGATTAGGTGGTTTTAAGGGGGCAGCTGTTTGAAGGGGGCACCATGAGGATAGCAGCTGGTTATCACTCAAGGCTTATGAAGTCCAATGCGGTTTTATTAACCTTTTTACCATGTTGACGTCACCTGTGACAAAATCTACTGGCCTTCTGGCCTTTCATTCAGGATCATGGAAACACTTCATCATATCCTCAAACCCCTTAACTTTGTGCTTTCTGCCTGAAAAGAATAAAAATCCTTCCTTGATTCTTCAGCTTTGGGAAGGAAATCCTCCCATGTCCCCTGGTCCTGTATTTAAGGAGGAGTTTTTTCTGTGAGACCAAGGCTTCTTTTTATCTGTCCTCTGCTCCCATTCAGCCAGCTGTTGTCCAAATGCATTTTAATAGTGGAGCAAGTAGCCACATCCTCAGGTGGCCTCTGAGCTTTTAGGATTTAGCTGCCCAGATTACATCTGTTCTAGTAAATACATTGGTGTATTTATTAGGGATGCACTTGTTACAAATATGACCCCTTTTTTCTGGCTCTTCATTTATTTAATCGACAGGATTGTTATCTGCCGGTTGACATATGAGTTGCATTACTGGTACTTTGCTGAATTTTAGTTGCTTGCTACAGTGCTCTTCAGTATGCTTATTATGAGTTCATTTTTTAATCATACATCTCGTGTATAGCAGAGGAGAGGTAGTTTAGAAGTGGATACATGGATGACATTTCCCTGAGGATGTTTAACAATCACAGGCAGTTCTGAAATGGATTGACACGGCCAAATGCTTCATAAAATAAACTCACAGGTAACGGTTTTGCCATTGATCCTTTATAAATTACCCTCAAACAGAGGTTATGTGGTTGTAGCTTTCCCTTATTAAGTAGGATAAATGGCATTTTAACTTATTTAGAGACTTTACAGGCAGCCAGCCTATCAAGTTGTATTATCAGAAAGAAGCTCAATACATAATATGTGTGGATAAGTTAGGATGGTTTGTAGGAAAATAGCCCAGATAGAGTAGTTTTGATTCTTATTTCCAAGGAAATATAAAGGAAAAGAGCAAATTGGTCTCTTAACATACATTGGATAATTTTGTTCTGTTTACATAGAGATAGACTTTCATTTCAACTTAACTTATATAGAAAGACATGTAAATGTGAGTTACCTTGGTTTCCTTCCATCAGTAACAAAGAGATGTAATCTGTTACTTACAGGAACTTGTTTATCTCAGTGTGTATATTTTGAAACATATATATTTATGTGGTATTGTCATATCTGGTTAAAATTTATAGAAGTGGGTGACTGGAAATTTGTATATCACATTTATTTAAAAGTGAATTTTGCTTCCAGTAATGGCTAAGCTCATACTGAATCCATCCTCTCACAGATAGCAACTAAACACTGGGCAGATGAAAACAGCTACTGAAGGATGTGGAACATGAACAGAAGCAGGCAGATACTGGGGATAGGGAGGCAGGTGTTTAGTAAAAAGAAGACCGTGGGGTGATCATCCCCAAATTTGCAGATGAGTGGCCTGAGGTCAGCCACAGTTGACAACATATGAGATGACTAAAACAGTGATTATAAGTGGTTATAAGAACACAATAACAGAATTTAAGAAGCCACAGCTACTGGAAAGTAAGAGGCATCACAAACAGGGGAGAGCCAGGAGGAGGAACCACAAATTCTGGGTATAAATCCTTGAACCATGTATTGGCCAGGAAAACTCCAAGCAGCCCAGTGGTTAAGGATGAAAGAAGTGAATTAATATCTGAGCTGCTTCTCAAGAGACAAGTGTGTAGTTTGAGACCAACCAAGGTAATTGCTTGCTGTAACAGAAAAATCAGCACTCTGGGAGTAATATGCCATAATCCAGGGTTTCTATGACATAACATTTAAAACATCCAGATTTCAATCCAAACTCGCTCAACACATGAAGAAATAGGAAAATCTGACTCATTTTCAGTAGAAAAGACAATGAACAGAGACCAAATCCAAAATGACTCAGACGTCGGTAGCAGTCAAGTATTTTAAAGTCCCTATTATAACTAAGCTCAGTAGTGGAAAGCACTGGATCCCAAAGTGTGGTCCGAAGGCCAGCTCCTTCAGCATCACCGTGATGGAAATACAAATTGTCTTACTTCAAATAAACTGAATCACAGACTTTAGGATGAGGCCCAGCAGTCCTATGTTTTTAAAGGCTTTCCAAGTGATTTTGGTACCCTCTAAAGTTTTAGAAGCATTGATGTTAAGGAAAATATTCTTCTAATGAATGAAAAGATAGGAAGTGCCAAAACAGAAGTAGAAGTATAAAAAAGGGAAATTCTAAAACTGACAAATACAATATCTGAAATAAGCAAATTCATTGAAAGGGCGTAATAGTAGAGTAGATATGAGCAAGGAAAGAGTTTATGATATTGAAGACAGAAATTATCCTATCTGAAGAACAGAGAAAAAAGTTGGCATGGGGTTGGGAGGAAGATGAAGAGAATCTCTAGGATCTGAGGGACAATCTCATGTGAACTGGAGACCCAGAAGTGGGTACAGAAGTGGAAGGAAAAAATACATGAAGAAATAGTGATCCCTAATTAACAAAGCAGCTGAAAGATCTAAATTTATAGGTTCAGGAATCTTAATGAGCCCCAAGCAGCATAAATACAAAGAAACCCAACATAGTCAAATTGCTGATAACCAATAAACATTGAGAAAAAACTCTTGAAAGTGTCCAGAGAAAAATAATACATTTCAAATAAAGGAAGACAGTTTGAATAATAACAAACTTTTCATCAGAAACAACAGAGGCCAAAAGAGTGTGAACCAACTTCTTTAGAGTGCTATAAGAAAAAAAATTACAATTCTATATCCAGTAAAAATATGCTTTAAGAATGAAGGTAAAAACAACACATTTCACCCAGCCATGGGCAAACTACGGCCCGCGGGCCGGATCCGGCCCGTTTGAAATGAATAAAACTAAAAAAAAAAAAAAAAGACCGTACCCTTTTATGTAATGATGTTTACTTTGAATTTATATTAGTTCACACAAACACTCCATCCATGCTTTTGTTCCGGCCCTCCGGTCCAGTTTAAGAACCCATTGTGGCCCTCAAGTCAAAAACTTTGCCCACCCCTGCTAGCCGGTTTTGCTCAGTGGATAGTGTCGGCCTGCGGACTGAAGGGTCCAGGTTTGATTCCGGTCAAGGGCACATGTCTGGGTTGCAGGCTCCATCCCCAGTAGGGGGTATGCAGCTGATCAGTGATTCTCTCTCAGCATTGATGTTTCTCTCTCTTCATCTCTGAAATCAATAAGAATATATTTTAAAAGATAATAATACACTTCAACAAAGAAGATATACTAATGACAAAAGTGAAAACTGCTCAATGTCATTAGTCATAGGGAAAACACATGTTAAAGCCACAGTGAGATGCCACTAGACTTACCTATAAGAATGGCTAAAATTTGAAAAACTGGCAGTATCAGTTGGGAGGATGTTTAGCAACTGGAACTGTATACACTGCTGATGGGAATCCAAAATGATATATTCGAAAATAATTGGGCAGTTTTGGGGGTAGTTTTTTAGAGACATATGTACACTACAGGCCCGATGCACGAAATTCGTGCAAGGGGCTCGGCCCTCGCAGCCCCGGCTTCATCTGGAAGGTCATCCAGAAAGATGTCTGGAAGGTCGTTTGGCTGTCCAGTCTAATTAGCATATTATGCTTTTATTATTATAGATTTACCATATGGTCCAGGAATCCTGTTTCTAGAGAAATGAAAACAGTGTTATAGGCTGCATTATGTCCCTCCAAAATTCATGCTTTAAAGGCCTAACCCCAGGACCTCAGAATGTGACTGTATTTGGAGTTAGAGTCTTTAAAGAGGTAATTAAGGTAAAATTAGGTCATACGGTGGGCCTTAACCAGTGTCCTGATAAGAAGAGCACACACCACAAGCTTGGAGGAAAGAACAGCTGGAGAGACAAGGAGAAGACTGCCATTTGCATGCCACTGACTCCACTGACACTCTGTTCTCAGACTTCCAGTCCCCAGAAGTGTGAGAAAATAGATTTCTGTTATTTAAGCTACCAGGTCTGTGGTATTTTATGGCAGCCGGAGCTGACTAATATATTAATGTTCACACAACAACATGTGCTTAAATGTTTATAGTGGCTTTATTCACAATCCCCAAAAATTGTAAACCACTCAAATGTCTTGCAGCTGGTAAATGGTGGACAAACTGTGGTACATCTACATAAACTACTCAGCAGTAGCACAGAATAAATTACTGATTCGTGCAATAGCGTGAGTGATGCTCAAATGCTGTTTGCTTAGTGAAAGAAGCCAGACTCAAAGGCTACGTAGTATATGATTTAACTTATATGACATTATGGAAAAGGTGGAATTATAGGAGCAGAAAACAGATCAGTGGTCCAGGAATAGGGAGCCTGGGAGGAAATAATTACCGAAAGGCCAGTGCAAGGGGTTTTGGGGGTGAAGGGACTGCTCAGTATCTCCATTGTGGTTGTGGTCGTACGACTGTATGTGTTCTCCTAACAGCCTTACCCTCGTAGAGCACTGCTCCAAAAAGAGTGAATTTTCCTATATGTAAATTTTTGAAATGTGAATATAGAAAGTAAATAAAAATAAGCAAAAAGCAGAAAGGAAACATAAAGATAATTTCAGATAAAGGAAAACTCTGGGAATTCATCACCAGGACACCTGCACTGAGACACGCGAAAGGACACTCTTCAAGGTAGAGACTTGAACTCTTTCCTTAACACCTCAAATGTGCCAGGATCTGATCTTGGTGAGGAATCTAGGGAAGTAGAAGAAATGATTAGCATCTCAGTGAATCTGTAGGATTAAGGATGCATATGTGGCTGGAAAGAGATCATGTGTTCATCCTCTCACTCATTCAACACATATTATTAGGCACCTGCTATGTGCCAAGCAGAGCTCTAATTTCTAGGATACAAATGAAGAAGGCATGGTTCTTTCTCCATGAGTGGCGGGAAAGACAAACATGGGAACAGCCTGCTCGTCTGATAAATAAGGTCTGTGCGTGCGCGTGTGCCTGTGTGCACGTCCGCTTCCTCAGTTGGCCAGCTTTGTTGCTGCGCGCTGTCTTGCTGTGGTACCAATGGCTCAGTGTCATTTCTCTCTTTCAGACATCATTCAGCCGGGGCTTCACAAAGAACATGAAGCTTGAAGCCGTAAACCCCAGGAATCCAGGAGAGCTCTGTGTGGCCTCTGTCGTGAGGGTGAAGGGGCGGTTGCTGTGGCTTCACCTGGAAGGTATGCCCGCTTTGTAACCATTCTGGAGAATTTAGGATCCGTCCAGCACGTCTCAGAAGTGTCCTTTTTGTGTTCCTTTTACTTAAACAGCTCTTAAATTATTCAGTGTTCTCAAGTAAGTGAAACTAATCAAATACAAATTTGTACAGAGGCTCTCATTTTAATTTAATAATTTCATGAAATGAGATGCTGGAGTGATAATTATGTTTGGAACACAGTGGGCTTTTTTACATCTATGATTATAAAAGCTAATGCCACAATTAAATTAATATGAGTCACTAAGACTGGTATTTGAGGTCTTGGTTATTATGAAGTCTTGGTTATTATGAGGATAGAATTGTATATTTTAATGTGAATAATACCCTTACTTTGGTTTCTTCCATAGTTGTTTAATTTTTCCTTAAAATAGTAAATGGAGACAACTTTCTCCCCAAATATACAGGCATGGGCAAAAGTAAGTTTATACTTGTAATACAAATAAATAATACAATAATTAATAAATAATAATACAAGAATAAACTGTTTTGTATATTCACAACTATAAACCTACTTTTGCCCACGCCTGTATAATAAACAGGATTTAGGCTTGTTTGTTGGTGTTTAAACTGTTCTTTATAGCTACATTTTATTTACAATTATACAGATAATTCACAGAATAATGTACTTTGTAAACAAACCTTGATCAGATTTTGAATTTAGATAGAAGACTATATTTTATAGATGTTATATTTTCAATGAGAAAGAATTGAGATGAATTTGATCTCCAAGATTTTCCCATCTTTCTGTGATTTAAAATACTTTGAGTTTTTTGTTTGTTTGATTGTTTGTTTTTCAGTTTCACAGCACTCAATAGTTATTTTAAGTGTTTATGAAAAAACAATAAGACTAGATATGAATAATGAAGTTATGTTAGCTTTCCTGGTCTATATTTTAGATCTTTTAACATGCTTGTATTACCATTGGACTAGAAAGTTTGGAAGGTCATAGAATTGCTGCTAATATCTTCATCCTTATTTCATCAGTAAGCAGGTCTAACAAGCATTGAAAGTTTTTAGATAGGCCTACCATCTCATCAACATTACAGTTCAAAAGAGTGGGAAGGGTAGAGAGCAGTGATTTTAGCTAAACATCATAGGTGTCGTTAATTCCCAGAAAATAGTTTAAAACATTACCGTGGTTTAAGATTTCCAATCCTATATAATAAAAGGCTAATATGCAAATTGTCCCCTGAACCAGGAGTTCGACCAGGGTGTGGCCACCTGTGGCCCCTCCCACTGGCTGGCCCTGCCCCTGGTTGGGGGTGGGGCCGGCTGGCCAACTGCCCATGGCCCCTCCCTGCCCCTGCCAGCCCGATCCCAATTGGGCCGACCAGCTGGACCCCAACCATGCACGAATTCATGCACTCGGCCTCTAGTTTGAAATAAGAGGAAATTCTCAAATAGTTGATTGCTTTATTTTTCAAATAAAATGGCCTCTAGTAGAAGTAGCCAAAAGGTAGACACAGGCATAATAGTGATATTTCTGTAGCCACAGGAATAGTGTGGCCTTATTTTCATTACTACATGTAAAGTTGATTCAACTGCTCTTGGAAAAATAGGAGCTCTTGGATGATTTTTAATTCTTAATCAAACATGCTACCTAATACTATGCTAAGCTATATCACTAGATTGGAGTCTTGTTTACATTGTTAATTTGAAAACAAAAATGGAAATGTTCAGAGCCCATGTATCATCATTATTATTTAGCATATTGTGGTTAAAATTATTTGGCAGTCATAATTTATTTATATTCAAATTGCTGTTTTTCTTTGGATATAAATTTGTGGATTTATAGCAAAAAAAAATACAAGTCAGTACATGGCAGCTCTTTTGCTTATTCTACAGAGTGCTTCCATTCTGTAGTAATGAGTTAGTTAGTCTTCTGAAGCAGGTCAGAAAGTAAATTATCCATTTTTCCAGGCCTTGCACATTTAAAGAAAAAAATTTAAACAATCTGTTGACTATCATCTACCTGGAATTATTGGTCAAAATTATGCATTTGTCTCATCAAATAAATTAAATTCCACTCAATCTCCTTGAACAGTCTTAAATTTTGTGGGGTTTTTTGTTAGTTCTTGGTTTGGGCCCTTGCTGAAGATTTACCGTTTGATATAATAGCAAGCTTGCTGGTACTTATTTCTCATTATTTCAGTTTTATGTAATAGTGTTTTCTTTCCTCAGTCCTGGGGACAAAATGTTAGCGATTCACTACGGTCACTTTGTGCCTGTTGAGTACTTTTATGATGATGGTGATGCTGATTATAGACCATTTATTCGACACTTTGAATTTATAAAGTACTTCATAACAATTTATCAGTTATATTTGTGCATTAAATTGATTTGAAGTATTTTCAACACATGGCTAATTGACCACTTGTAGGTCATTGAAAGGGTGATTTTTATTTAATATCTCACTTCTCTTGAAGTCAGATCATTCTTTAAGTGTCTATAAATGAGCCGATGTTGAAGGGGGAGCAATGAATAAAATATATGGTATTTGTGTAATATTATTTTAGGTGCATATTTGGAAAGAATCTCAAGCTCTCACAAGCTGTAGATAGTGAGCAAGGGCAGTTTCTGATGAAGGGGCTTTGTGTTTTAAGAAGGACATTGTCGTGCTTTCTCTATGGTAATACTCTGCTCTAGGTAATCGTGTGTACCAGCCGGAGCATCCTATCTAATAAAGAGGGAATATACTAATTGACCCTCACACCGTCACAAAAGATGGTGGCTCCCACAGCCAATAAGGAGGGAATATGCTAATTGACTGTCACTCCTCAAAGATGGCAGTGCCCACAGCCAATAAGGAAGGAATATGCTAATTGATTGCCATACCCTCAAAGATGACAGCGCCCACAGCCAATAAGGAGGGAATATGCTAATTGACTGCTACGCCCTCAAAGATGGTGGCACCCGCAGCCACAAGATGGCTGGCAGGGGAGGGCAATTGTGGGCGATCAGGCCAGCAGGGAAAGACAGTTGGCGGCGACCAGGCCTGCAGGGGAGGGCAGTTGGGGGCAATCAGACTGGCAGGGGAGTGGTTAGGGGAATTGCACATGACTGCAGAGGAACTTACATATAAAGAAAACATCTTCATTAAAACAAAAACAACCAAAGCAAGGGATGGAAATGTATATTACACTTCTTCACAAGAGGAAGACTGAATGTGAGGGGAAAATGGAGATAGGAAAGGAAATTACTAAGGGGAAGGGGCATGACACCGCCATATCAAGGGTGTGAGTCGTTACTGAAAATGCCTCCCGTTTATCCACTGACATGCCCGACATGTGAGCAGAGCTAACAACGCATGTCTTGCTTTGTTACTTAATGTTAAAAATGAAACTTACTGTTTCTCGGCTAACTTACTGAAGAGAATAAGCCTCCAACATTTCATTATGGAACCAAAGATCTTGTATGTTTGATTTCCACACAACACAGATTCTTTTACAATTAAATGGAAAGAGGGGATGCTGGGATGGCTGATTGGCTCTCAGCACCATAGCCCACCTTCCTCTCTGCCTGCAGGGGCTGGGGACCTTAAAATTAACTCCCAGATGCCCATACACAATAGCGCACTGAGTTCAAAACAGGCTCCACCGCTGGTATCTACTCATGTGAGCTTCGAAGGGCAGAATGAAGCAGATGCGACCTCCCTGCTGCTGCTCCTGCTGGCAAGCAAGGCCCTGGAGTGTTAGCAGCTGGACTTGGTGGGTCCATTTCTATTCCTAAGCTCCAAGGGTCTCTGGGGTGCTGCAGCAGTCCCAGTGTTTCCTCACAAACTGGAGTTGTGAGAGGGACTGGAGCCAGTGGCAGGCCACAGATCACGGCTTTCTGCCCATGGGATGCCACAGTGGCCTTAAAATAGTCCATTGTGGGGCTCATGACCTCTGTCATCCATCCCTCCCAAGGATCTTATAGGCACCTAGTTTCCTGCTACAGTCCCTTTCTGCTTGAGATACCGATTATGCTTTCTTGCCCGTGATGTCAGTCAAGAATGGACTCTACCTCCAGTTTCTGTACCTCCAGTTTTTAAGTTCTGTGGGCCCTAAAACCTCATTTCTTCTTGGTATTAAATGCTGAAATGTATTGTGATTGGTGCTGTGAGCCATTGCACAGGGCTATGCTCCCGTCCTCGCCTATAGCCTATCACATAGCACAGTGTTTGTACACGAGTTCATGCGCTCACGCAGTGTTTGCTGAATCAACATAAGGAATAAATAAAATCTGTGGTCCCTAATGAGAAAGTGATGTAGGATACAGCAGCCCCTTAAGAACGGTTGTTTTGCAAACCAAATTTTGAAACGACAAGAGGTATTTTATACTTGTCAGCTAAAATCTGAAGACTTCTTGGTCAGTTTTTCCATATGCTTGGTTCAGTACCAGGAAACTACCTTCCATATTATAACCAACAGTCAACAGGAGTCCTACTAAAATGTAGATTCCTGGGGGTCTGCCTTTTAAAGTCCCCTCCCCAGGTGATTCACACGCACACTGGAGTTTGTAACGGTCAAATGGGCATAGTGTGGCAGGTTTCAAAGAAACGTTTGTGAGTCAACCTCTTCTCTTCAGGAGACCAGGTACAGAAAACTGCCCCTTAAGCCTTCCCATGATTTGTGAAAAAGTCAGGTGGTTAAAAAGCATTTCGCTAGACTTGCTAAAATGAAACAAAGGGAAATGCAAATGTGAAAAGAATTACATTTCTAGTCAGTGTGGGTGGGTTAAAACCTTTAAAGAGGTGTGGCCTGCAGGAGGCACTGTTGCTGGGAGCTGCTTCAGCAGATCAGGGTATGGGGCAGAATTTCCTGCAGTCAGAGAGGGTGGCCCTGCAGTGGGAGCTGTCCCTGGGAGCAGGCCTTCATCACAACAAATCTGCTTTGTCCCCCAAGCTATCGAGCAGTTAGACAGGTACTTGGTAGCCAGCAACAGAACTGGCTCTGGCTGTCGCAAAAAAATGGGAATCTG